GAAGATTCATCTACTAACTAGAACCAATATGAGGATACAGAATGATAATTTATAATTAATGGTTAAGGTGATGAATTAGATTTGGAGGGAGGGGGTGTTTCATCACCAGTTGACATCAGCTTTCATGCCAAAATGCTAGTTAGCCAAATGAATGAATGAATATCGCGCCAAAATCTAAAATTTATTATCTTAAATCTGATTGGTTCATTTATCATTTATCATTTTATCGATAAATTGTTACAAAATTTAATCGATATTTTTTTCTCCTTTTTTTCCTTTATATTTTTCTTTTCTTTTCTTGATTAATTGTTTCTTTTAAGCGCCATTTTTTGAAATTTGAAATTGATCTAAGATCATTAGCTTTACTGAATAAATGAATGAATGAATGAATTTTATTGATTTTTTTTCTTATCTTAGATCATTTATAATCACTATAGAAATAGATTAAACTCCGCCTATCAGTCTCGCGCGCAAGCGCTTAACCACTAAACTACTGAACCTTCTGATATCCAACGGTGTTAATGTCTAACTTCAACTAATCCACGAAATTGCGCCACCGTACACCATTGTCTTCAGTGAGTTGATATCTCACAACAGACCTAGTGTTGAACTCCATTGGTCACTGCTTCTCACTAGAACTCCAGGAAATACCTCTTAGAGACCGTTACTAGTGAGCAGATGATTATTATAAGAAGGGGTTTTTGTGAAGATTTTAGAAATTTCACCAGTTGAAATCATGAGTCAATTTATGATTGTTTACCAATAAGGAAATAGATAACATTAGTTTACTTGAATTAGTTTATAGGTCAAATGAAATAACAAGGGAATAGGGAATATGGGTAAGAGAAATGATTATAATGATTAGTAATCGAATCGAATGTTTGATTAGGCACTTAGTAATGAATGAACTTCTTTTTAGACTAGTAGACTATATAAATGAAGTGGTGATTTGATATGTGAAGATTATGTAAACAGTTCACTATAATTTTATGATTGGCAAACAGACATGATTAACATAAAGCCTGGTATAGATATGAGTTAGTCGAAGATGGGAACTTTGACTAACATATAGATATAATAAGATGAATTAGTAAGAGCATTGGAAACAGTTTAGTATCAGTGATAACGAGTACTACTGAACATAGAGAATATAGTTCTTGAATTCGTTTGGTATGCTTATGGTTTAGTGAACTAGGCTATTCAATAATAAACTGTAGTCGGCACTTTTTGTTGTCTTCTAAATTTATAATCCGTTGGTATTTATTTAATAATGGTTTTCAGAGCCGGTTTTAGGAATATTCATCTCTCTCTCTCTCTCTCTCGGAATGGCCACGCGTATACAAACAATGTCAGGGAAGTCCTACTCACTGACTTTTCGTGTTAAGGCTGTTGCTTGAGAAATTGAGAGAAGGAAAAACGAATGTCTGGCGCTTTAGCCGGGTTGATGGATATGTAAGAGTTAAAAAACCCTAATTCGAATCAATGATGCACACGGGCTCCACGATCCTAAAGGAACAAATGGCGTATCAACCAATGGTTAGTCACCGGCTACCATGGGACTGCATCTCCTGACGTTGCTCCACTGCCTTGTGGATCAGACCTTTAGGTCGAAGGCTCCAAGTATGGCCTCCTTAGAAAACCACCTTCTTCGGTGTGGGCACTGGGGTGGTATCGCAGCCCACACACAAATCACTTGATTTGTGTGGCTCATATATATTCGGTGCCCCTTTGTATCAATATTTATGTGTTCACTGTTGAATCAATGTCATTCTTAGACTTTTCATCTATTATGCTTTTCACAAGTTCAACTTAAGAATATTTCAGAGATTAGTTACTTTGTTTGATTGTAAGTATTTTTACTAAATCAATGATGATGACATGTCCTTCTGAATTGATCTATATATGGGATGAAAATCAAAAGTACACAAAGGTATGATAATAAAATGACATATTGTCTTAATAAACTTTAGAATTGTATCCATCACAATACAATAAAATGTATTTCAATGGGAAGTACCAATATGTAACCAAGTGTACATGACCTTTGTCTAACATAAAAATCAATGATTTTGTCAATTCAAATAGCGTATTCAGTATTTTCAGTTTAGGTAACTTTTCAATCATGTATTTAATGTCAAAGATAATATATAGGTTAATTTGTAAGTTTTTAATACAACAAATAGAACAAACATTCATTGTTATACTTTTTAGGACAGCAGAATGATGTAGATGACCGAACAGATAATTCGATTACGGTGTAGATCACCAACGTAGATGATCTATGTCAAATGATTGGAGGGCTACTCGAATTAGACGGGGATGATGTAACGAACCAGATAACTTTGAAATCACATCTCGCAGTCAGCATCTAACGTGAATTACCCCTTTGATGTATCAAAGTACTATGGCTGCCTTGAAGACCGTATAACACAAAGGATGTTATTATGGAAGTATATTAGTAAGAATGAGTACAGAGATGAATTCGAGACCACCACCGCATAGCATACGACTAATTGACGAGCTTTGTTTGTCCTTGACTTACATAGAAACCGATGATCTGTTCGTTATTCAGTGACTCAACTACCGGATGATTTGTTTACGGCTCAGTGACATTTCAGTGGCCCTACAACGGTATCAGAAGCAATATTGAAATTCATGTATAAAATCAATGATAAAGTACATTCGAATTGTATAACTGGTCAACCTAGATATACTTATGTAGAAATTTCACAATTCGATTGACTTATAACTTGGTCACTCCTAACATGATAGAAAGAAACAGGAAACTGATTGACTGGAATGTGACCAAGTTGATCCAAATACTTATTTGAAGTTCAGTTGTAGATTCTATGAGCGCTAACTATTGTTGAACTTTAGAGATCAAGACAAATTATTCAATGTTTGATAATCAATGTTTATGAATATGATTATATATTGATTGTCATGATGATATAACTATGAATCAATGGTATTTTATTGACCCTATACTTTCAGTTGATTAACTTCTGACCAACGATAGTCACAGAGATCGCATAGTGATGTTTTGTTTCAATCCATGATGATGTGAAATCTAGAATAATAGAAAGTTTCTAAATGGCTACGATAGCGCTACGAACAATTCAGTTTTCTACTGAGCAACTAATCGAATTAACTGTCTTTACTTAAACTATATATTAGCATGTTCACATTCTACAATAAATAGATCAACTGATGGAATCCACAGTAAAGATGGAAGAATACATTAGTGCATCTTACAAGGTCAACGGAAACTATGGCAATTTTATTGATATCCATCTTAAGAATGTAATAAACAAATGTGATTTTGCTAATATTATTGCCTAGCGGAAATCTAGACTTCTAGAAGATCAAATGTTATGTGAATTACTTAGTCTGATTTCCAATTTTTGAGAATAATTATAACATGGAAGCAAATGAACGACTTTTTGAATTACATTCGGACCTTATAACGTGTGAAAATATCTACATAGATAGTCAGTCAGCTACAGTGTAGGACCAGGCACATATATACATCGGTCCAAGTTGCCATACCTCATTAGCACAACAAAATGAACACCACATTCATAGAAGTAGTTAATTCAGAGGTGGTAATATATAAAAGAAGGATTGCATATAAGGATAGAGTATAGGAAGAAAGAATTAGTTGGTAGGAAGAAAGATATGAAGTGATTTTAATCTCTTAGTTTAAGGGAAGACAGGGAGTGTATACACCGACGCCATTGTGATCGATCCTTAGTCATGTCACCTAGAGTCTCCAATCATTGGTTACGATAGTCATGCGGACCTCAACCAAGTAGTCTCCATCTACCAACATGGCTCAGACCAAAAGTTAGTGACTTCAAGCACTGATGCCACGTTTTGGTTTGGCCATCCCTAACTTTCTTCCAACCATCCGCAACACTACTCAGCACTGCGCGTCGTACATAGATAATAGACCAACAGTAATTATAATGTCTGGTAATATCATCGTATGATAATAAAGTCGAAAAAATCCAGTTTAGTGAGTAAATTACACGAACCCCAACTTCTAATTTCAACTAAAGATAACGTTTCGGCTAATAATGTTTATGTTATGAATTAAGTTGGGTATATAGGCCTTATCATCTAGTTGATGAACTAAAATTAAGAACCAATGTTATTTCAACAGCCGAGATCATGAGTCAATTAAGGCTAGACCACCATGGAAAATCTGGAAGCACTAGACGACCGTTTCGTCCTATTGTGGGACTCCTAAGCAATGCGCACCTACGGTCCAACCTCATGGAATTCGCACCCCGGACCTATCAGTCTCGCGCGCGTGCGCATAACCTCTAGACCACTGAACCTGACGTCATCCAACGATATTAATCTCTAACTTCAACTAATCCATGAATTTAGCGACACATCTACCATTATCTTCAGTGAGTTACTATCTCACAACAGATCCAGTTGAACTCCACTAGTCACTGTTTCTTACTAGAACTCCAGGAAATACCTATTGAAGCCAGTCACTAGTGTGTATATGTTGATTAGTATCAGAAGGGTTTTTTTTTGGAATTTGTAGTAATTCCAATAGTTGAGATCCTGAGTCAATTGAAACTAGATCACCATGAAAAACGTGGAAATACTGGACAGCCGTTTCGATCTATTGTGGAACTTCCATTGGTCTAATGCTCTATCAACCATCCTTTAAGAGCTACAATAAATGTCATACGCTATATACACACTATACCAAATCAGACATAGAAACATAGATGATTATTATAGGGCTGACAATTTGAATGAGACATCATCATCATCATCATTTTGTAAAGGTAATTTGTTAAGATGAATCATAGTTACAATTTTGTTTGTGACAATTCACCACCATCACCACCACCACCACCACCACCACCCTTCCTATAATAATAGCTTTGTTATTAGAATTAATTTATGCACAGCCTTATCAAAACAACCAATCAGAAGAGAGTATTGATTAATTTCAAGGTTGTTGATTGGACGTATGTCTGTTTACTATTTATATATACAATTCATTTTAGTTATGAGGATAGACAGACTGATCACAACTATACAGAAGACCTGCGTTGGTTACACTTTTTGTAATTTAACACACAGAGAACTTAGTCAACTTAGGCTTTCTCAAAAGATCAATAAACAGTGGACCTTTTTTTTTCTTTTTTTTTTTTAAAGAGACAAACTATCAGCAATGTATCTGTGATATGGATTTTATGCCTGCTAGAATTTTAACTATTCACAATTACGCATTTATCTTGTTTATACTTGTTTCAATTTATTGATTTCAGTGATCAATTTAATTGGGATTTTGTTTCTATGATTGAAAGTATGCGACATCGTGGTCCTACTGACGAACTTTCACCTAATGTCTATTTAGATAAACATTGTTCTGATGCTACAATGTTAACAAATGATTCAACAAAATCTGATCAGCAACAAGGAATATATTGTACAACTGTAACTTCAAAGTCAACTGGATTATCTCCTGTCTTAACACGTATACATCCATCGAATGTATCTAGTTGTTTTTCTCAATCGAATCGTGTTCAACGTCATGATTTTAAATCGAAATATTCCGGTCAATTAAATAATCTTAATTCATCTCAGGAGATAAATAAAACTGGAAGATACATTAATCATCGGAAAATTCGTAAAAAATCTAAACGAGAAACAAGATTTCAAATGAATGGAAATATGGATCCAAATTTTCATTCTCTTAAAGTGACTATTAGAAGGACATATAAATCTAATAAATTAGAAAATGGTATCTGTTCAATTGTAAATACACCAAATGATGAAAGTATGAATCATGATGTTTCACATCAATCACTCAATCATATTAGTGATAATAATTCAATAAAACAATGTGAGACTCAGTTATATGATGAAAAATTAGACCAGGATATGTATAAACCAGTAAGTTATGTTAAACATACAATTCTGTTACTGGCTTGGTAACCAAGTATATTTATTGATTGCTTATGTGAACGTTTGATCCTTCGATCTTATTAATGGAAATCATGGTGAGACTATAATTTATGAACAGACCAATAACGTATAAGTTAACGGGTTTTTGGTTTTGGCGCGAAATTCACTCATCCCTTTGGCGAAATAGAATCTTGGCATTATAACTGATTTCAGTTCATGATGAGAACTCTTATATCTGATTCCTAATACTAACCATCGACTGTAAATATTAATCCTAATTCCTCACGTTGGTTTATAATATTCATTTAGCCATAGTTAGTATGTAGGTGAACATTCTCAAAGTCTGTTTAGCGTCGCTCAAAGGTTTTCCATAAATTATAGTCTCACCGAAATTGTTATAAACAAATTACAATATTGTGGTCGCGTAGTGGTGATGTTTCCAATTACTGCTTATACTCTTACCGCCTCTACTACTACGGGATTTGAATCGACAACTGCATCTCTGTGCTAATGTGGTGTGGCAATTCGAACTGATGTACGTACGTACGAAGTTCTACGTTGTTACTGACTGACTGACTGACTGGTCGCGTAATCTCGTGTAGAAAATAGCCAAACAACTAGGACAGTTTTTAATTAAATCTCTCAAATAACAAAAATTACGGAATAACTGGATTGTTGTTTAAAAAATATCTAGGCATAAGTGAGACGTCTGACGCATTGTCTTTACGTTGGAAACAATAAGGTGGCCTTCATGTTATACAGGGTACCCACCACCTTACTGCTGTTACATAACAATATGAAGTTGCAATTTACATTTTATGTAAATACATGTAATATTGTTTAATTTGTGGTGTTTGTTTTATACAACAAAGAAAGTTCAGTACGTACCACATGATTGAACTCCTAAAGCACTAAATTACTGTATACAACTAACAATTTAATGTCAGTCAGTCAGCTACAACGTAGGACCAGGCACATATATGCATCGGTCCAGGTTGCCATACCTCATCAGCACAACAAGATGAACACCGGATTCATAGGAGTGGTTAAGTCAAAGGTGATAATATATAGGAGAAAGTTGCATATAAGGATACAGGAAGAAAGAATTAGTTAGTAGAAAGAAAGATATGAAGTGAAATAGATGTATGTAGAAATCAATAATTTGTGCATTACCGCATCTTTAAAATTCGATCATAAACAAAGTAAGGGGTGTAAGTTCGCATCCACTGCATTATAAGTGTTGCAATCTAGAGAAAAAATGATTAATTACATGAAGAGAGATCAACACAAATTATGAAGATAATATATACAGTTAACATTATTATTAAGTAAATTCATGAGTACACCTACACTATGGGGACTGGTTTTTAAGCCATGATATTTAATAGTTGTGAAATACAAATTTCCGTCTTGTGGATCCGTACTAAATCATACATTATTTGCACCTTACATCAATAACTTCACAAAATAATAGTCCTACTTTGTTTGGGTGACCTGGCTCAAAATCGTTGGCAATCGTGCAGGTACATCCACTCTTTGTGTTCCTTCAAACTCTAATCTAACACTTGGTCTCGTGTGCTGTTACGGATACGAAGGCTGATGGAAGAAAGCTAAGGGTGGCCAGACAAAAACATGGCACAAATCTATGGAGTCACTGACAAGTGGACTGAGCCTTGTTGGTAGGTGTAGACTACGTGGTTGGGATCTGCGAGACGACAACAACCGATGGTTAGAGACCTAGAATGACACAGGTGCATCCAATCTGTGTTCTCTCACATTTTAATCTGAATTCTTCATGTCCCTTTTATATTTTCTCTTTCCAAATTTGTTTCACTGGATTATATTCCTTGAATGACATCTTCAAACCTGAGTCTTTCCGATTACTGGTTATACTTTTACTATCTCTACCAGTATGGGATTTGAATCGACAATTGTATCTGTGTTCTAATGTGGTATGGCAACTCGAACTGATGTATATATGTTCGATGTTTCACGTTGTTACTGGATGACGTCACCCCCTTTTCATTTAGCAATATTCCAACCAGGATGAATGCTCAATAATTTTGCTCACTTTCAATTTTTTCGAATGTCATAGATATTATCTTAGACATAACTTTCACGTCTGATTTTCCAGGGATTGAAAAGAAATTTATCGATTTGAGGTTCTCAAATAACAGTCTTATTTAGTCAAGGGAAAACATTTGAGGCGTTACTCTTGTTCTCATTATAAGATATTTCAAAACTGGCGCACATCATTGCCTAGTTCCGTAACTTAGTCGAGCACACTGACCTCTTCGCATATCTTGTATGTTTCATTGGATGTCGTGATCGTTGTTTTTAGCTAGTCTATAGTTTGGACAAGAGATATTGCTTAATGAGTCAAGTATTTAAATGGTTACTGTTTAGTTTCAGGTCGTAATCATGGCTATATTCACTAACTGAGCATACAAAGTTTTCAATTGTCTCTGGTTATCGGTGAAATCAAAATACTTTTAATTCCTAAAAATAAGTTATTCAGGAAAAGTTTGACCACCCGGCTTTTACAATTTTGAACATTAAAGTGCTTATACAGTGCCGATTCTTAGGTTATATACCATATCCATGTAATGTTACGAGAAATTTACTGCATACCATGTCCCTAATAGTTTACATAGATTTGGGTACCAAGACTAAAACTGGGTTTATTTTACAATTTGATTTTCACAATATTATTGTAACAATTTAAGTTACTTTCTGTACGTATTTCGTTTTGGTCAGCCGGGTAGAATCGTTAACCATTACACTCCAAGTGTTGCTCATACTCAAGTATTCGGATAATTTTTTGATATGTGCGTAGTAAGGCTTATGTTATTCCTTTCCTAGTATGCTTCTGTGAGTGTCTAGTTTCTTGAATGTGTCAATAAAAGGTGCGAACACCACTGCTTCGGGCAACAGGTTCCTAGAATTGATGACTCGATGTAAAAACCTGTATGTCACGGGTATTTTGTTTATTTAGACATAAACATAGGTACAAGAAGGCACCAAAAAGGATTGCACGGGTAGCTGCCCTCTTTACTTTTTCCAGGATATCCGAGTCACCTTTTAAACAAGGGTTTGTAGCCTGAAATCAGTTTTCAAGCTTAGTCCTCACTAAGGTTGTGTATGCTGTGGTGAACATAGCAGTATCTAACTTGGGGAATGTCCGTCTTAGAGCCCGTAAGGTTCTAAACCGCTTAACTGCTACCTCCCGGCAGTGGGCTGTGGTCTTAAGATCATGACACACTGTCGCCCCAAGATCCGTGTAAAACCAGACCACGGGTACAGGCACTTCCCCTATATTGTACCTATTTACCTTAGTATCCCCAAAGTGTATGTAGACACATTTTACAGCGTTGATAGGCATCAGCCACTCTTTAGACCAGCTAATCACAATTACAATATGTAAGTCTGCCTGGAGTGTGCATGCATCTGCTTCTTCCATTATTTTTTGCCAGATATTTACATCATCAGCGTATAATTACATTGGGGACTCAACTATACATTTACACAGAGTATGAAAAGTAAAGGACCTTGAGCAGAACCTTGCGGCACTCCACTATGTACTGATCTCCAGGTGGAGCACTTCGAATTTACTCTTACTTTCTGTATGCGACTTACTAGGAAATCCTTAAGCCATTTTAGGAAAGGTCCGGTAATGCCAAGATTCTCTAGCTTCAGTAGCAGTCTATTTTTTGCCACCTTGTCAAATGCTTTGCTGAAGTCTGTTTAGACATCCACTGATTTTCCATTATTTACAGCCTTTATCCATTGCTCTTTTTCTATAAGGAGGTTTGTTGTACAACATAAATCTTTTCTGAAACTATGTTCTCTTTTTAACAAGTTGTTGTTTTCCATGAATGTCATTATGGTCTTTTTGACTATTCTTTCCAGTATTTTAACTATGACACTGGTGAGGCTGACATGTCCATAGTTTGATGGAAGTTGTCTTGGGCCTGTTTTATGTATTGGAATGACGATTGCATCCTTCCAGTCCGTAGGTAACACACGTTGATCGAGTGACGTATTAAATATCACAGTTAGCGGGGCTACAGTATATTGTGCAATTTGTCTCAGGATTTTGGGGTGTAGTCCATTCGGTCCTGTTGACTTTTTCATGTCTGAAGTGCTAAAAGCCTTAAGTACATCGTCTTGATCAAAGCCCACGGTGGCCATACGATTTGTTGACTTTGTATTTGGGTCTAGTTCTTTGCCTAGGAGAGGCTCCTGAGTGAAAAATACCCCGAAATAGTTTGCCATAGCCTCTGCTTTTTCCTGACCATCCTCTATAATTTCAGATTCACTCCCTTAATTAGGTTGGGAATCCAATTCTGCATCCTTGTTCTGTAATTTATGTACGAGTTTCTAAATTTTTACTATCTGTTCAGGGACTAGTATATCACGAGGCTGCCAGAGTTGAAAATGTGTGACTATGGTTAGCTTCTTACATCGCCATTGGTAACCTGGACTTTATAATATTAACTTGTTATTTGTAACGAGCTCTATGTGTGTTTTGAGGTTGTGTATACGGAACCAGTAGAGATAGATTTATGCTTATTCTGTATTCTAGATTTTTATCAGCTTTCGTCAAGAACAAGTACAGTTTATGTTATAATGATTTCCAAATGTAGGCTATTTAAATTTATTAAACCTCCGGTCGGCCATTAAATAATGGACATTTTAGTCGGCAAAACTATAGACCATTGATAAGTAGCCATGTTGTGTGTCACTCATGATGTCTCTAGATCTCTGATAGTATCAAGTGTGCGTAGTCAGTGAATATTGATGTTATGTGAGTAAAGTGGGACTCCTAAGTGGTGTTTTCAAACTATCAAAAATAATCGGTCCTAGACTTGGTGACGTAGTTTGAAATTAATCCGAATAAAGCGAATGTATTCCCATTTTATCCGTCTTTAAATTTCAATACATCGCTCGTTTCTTATCCCTTTATCACTACATCTTTATTTAGTTAGTCATAATTTTACTCTTGATTTGCTGTGTTGGTACATTATGGCTATTTGAACGTATCTCTGTTACACTATAGTAACCAGTCATTTAGTTGCATTTAGTTGATAAGTACACATCATTATTCAGTCTGTCGAGTGAATCAAGTGTTTATAGGAGTGCCAGTTGTCTAGGGGTCTCCGAGTTATAGTCGTCGACATATATGATCAAATGAACAGTATTTAAGGAAAATGTAGGGAGAAAATTTTGTATCCTGTTTATATGGCGAACTAATTTTCATAAGAAGTTTGTTTCAGGCATTCGTTTTATCCTATCGAAATAGACGAAAACAAACTAACATGGGTTACTAAACATAAGTTTTGATCATATTTGTAAAAGCTCGTGACTGATTATAGTGAAATAATTAGATTTATTACTTCTATCTGAGAACACTACTAAACTACTTTCATTACATTTCTTTTTCATTTATCATTAATCTTCAGTATTATTCCTCTTAATTTCTGTTTACTTCTGTATACTGTCAAGACAAGTTAACCTGAAGAGAAGCAGCATTGGTGTTTGATACCTGTATCAAGTGGGCATGAATGGTACCCGTGCAGTATCACAGCCCTCACACCAAGCAATGATTACTACTGGCTCCATTATTATTGTGTTTCATATGTATTTAGTGCTCCCTTTTACTATGTTTGTGTGTTCAAATAAATAAATAAAACCAAATATGAGGATTAGTGATACTACCCGATTGCTCAAACAGAAGTGAAGGGCTGGCTGAAAGTCGATTGTTTTAACCATTGGGTCGCCGCTTCGCTTGAGTCTTTTAGACAGAAACTAATCATTTAGTGTCATAAAGGTAACCAGAGTAAATACTATAGTCTCAAATGATATGATTGAAAATCAATCTCATTAGCCTATGTTTAGTCATCTTGCATCATCATCTAGCTCTTAAAATACCCATTTCTTGATTTCATTTATTCTCTCCGGTTTTTCAGCGTTCCTCTACTGTCAGTACTATTTTCACTATCCTACTTTTCTTTCTGGTTTCTTCATTGTGTTTAGTGTGGCCTGTGATGAGAAACCGTGTATATTTGTTTTCTGGTCTCAAGAGATTTTTATCTGTCTATCAATTCATACTCGAATTTTGTTCCGTCGGTATGGTTTGATGTCTGTTGTTGGTCATTAACAAAGATATATAACAAAAATATAACTTATTCTGATAAATATGGATTTATTTGCTGAGTTAAATGTAGAGTCTATTGTGTTGTTAATCGACTATCCAGACTGAAGTAAGTAAGGTGTGTTTAATCCTTTCATTTGTTCCACCTAGTTAAGTGTCATAATCAGTTAACAATCTAACAGTTGTTACTGTATTTATTCAGACTTTTCGGTTCTTGTTCGGTGTTAGAGAGATTCATTATTATAGCTATCGAGTTGTTGACCTGATTCCAGTTATGGCACCATACATTTTTCTTCATAGAATTGATATTTTACATGATATGAACTTTTTACAATTACAGAATTGGATTTATCATGTTGTTCACATATGACGCCCCCTAAAATGTCATTTTCATTAGATACTTAATCTCCCACTTCATATTTGATCTATCAACGATGATACATCTGTTTATTGTACTATTTCATATTTTAGGAGCTTTTATCAGTACTCGAAAAGCCTTGTCATTTTGTTGATTCCTCAACTTCTACAGTTGATAGTGCTACCTTAACTGAACCAGACCTTCTTGGACCTTGTGAACCAGGCACAAAAGTTGTTGTAGAAGGTGTGGTATGGTTGGAAGCTACAGGTGGGTGTTCAGTGTTAGTTTTTGTGTTTCCAGTCTTGATACTTAGACGCGAATTAGTATTGCAAAATTCATTTATTCGTTGTGTTTTATTGTCCTGTTAAGAACATGGATAAACAATAAATAATGAATAAAGATTATGAAATTCTATCAACTTTAAACTTCACTGAGGAAGTAGTTAAAAGACAAGAACAGTTTTAGTCTCTTTAGTTCCCTGATAAAAATTTGTCATTGTATTGGATTATTTAGCTTTTGGCATCGTTTCGTTATCTTAGATGGAATATCTGATTGTTACGTGAACATAACAGTTAGCGAAGATTCACGGATACATAGAGTTAATGAAACCTACGAAACTAATTGATCTCAACCACGATCAACAAAACGTATTGATTTGATATTTGTGGAGTTTTTTTAGTAGCTCACTTCTATTTCACACTGCTCAAGATGACAATGAAAGTCCCATTATTAAACTATGAAAATCATAGAACCGCTGCAGCAATTTCGAAAGCATTCATCTAATCTGTAAATTGTGTTCATTATACAATAAACTTGATTTCAACATAGTTTACTGTTTATTAAATTGAGTTAGTTATTCTAATTTTCGTAGTGTTTCACTTAACTGAATTATGACATGATGAAATTATATCAATGTAATATAGTACACAAGTTTCATATCAGGACTCAGTAGCTAAGTGGATAACGCAATGGCGTTTGAAGCGAATGATACTGAGTTCGAGTCCCTAAATGAACATCAACTCTGGGATGCAGGTACATCCAGCTGACGAGTCCCAAACAGGACGAAACGCACTTCTTGGATTCCACTGCTAGTCACTATCCATCTTTGCTTACAAGTTTCATATGGTTTAGTATCTGTGAGTTGCATCTATTCACAACAATCTATTCCATATAACAATCAGAATTATCACCTATCAAATTATTACGTAATGTTTGGTCAATTGAATAACAGATATAATTAATAAATGAGGGGAGCTGTATTATGTAATTTGTAATCTGTTTTATTTCATGTTTATTTATTTTGGAAGTGAAATATTCTACCTTCTATTAATAGGGATGCTTGTTCTTAGTCTTCACTGGCGTGGACGAAACTATATGGGCACTTTGTTAGATTCATCAAAACAAACATTTGCACCTACTTGGTAAGTTTTAAATTATTTATCAGTTTAATTCCTGTCTTCAAATTTATGGTATAGGCACAACTTTTCTCTATTGTTATTAATTAATACTACTGAAGCTTCCTACTGTAGCTACTAGCTTGTTGTCATGATTGAACTTGTCTATTGTGGTGACTTATCCGAGAAATGTTGGACCGAACATTCGTTTCCTTACGCCAGTAGCACTGAAAATTACATTGATAAAGTTGATAATTATTTATCGTGTAATAATTGTCGACTTTGATAGCTGAATTAATATTCATAAATGTTATTTTGTCTTTTTTCGCAGCATGGATAAAGGTGTCGCTAGTGCATTGAATCTCTTACGTGGTCGAAAATCTTGGTGTGATCCACACAGAGGTTATCAAGCTCGTGGCCTTCATCATTTTCACCATCTGCGTCATCATCGTCGTGGCGGCGGCAGTACCACTGGCATATCAATGACTACTCGGTCAGCTTCAGCAGCAGCAGCCGCTGCATCACAAGACTCAAGAGAGGGGAGTGTAGATTCGAAAGACCAGTCTGTTGTTAATGATCCTTATTCAACTGAGTGTATTGACCAACCGTATGTACCTGTAGAGACAAGTTATAGCAAGAAGTCTAGCAATGTTGCATCACATGATATTCCCCAACGTGGAGCTAAAGGACGTAGACGTCGTGGCACTGGTCGAAGACCAGTTCGCCCTATTGGTGTAGTCTCTCCATCTCTTGAATGTTCTATGAACACATCTTTGCCCGAAACTAAACAAACCCTCAACGATGATGCAGATAACCAAGCAAACGTTTTGTCAGATGTTTCATCTTCAAAATCCGATTGTAAATTACCACTCAGTTGTCCATTCAATGGCTGTGAAAAGCGTTTTGCCGATATTCTTAGTATGCGTTTTCATTTCACAATGGGACATCATAACATTCAAACCGTAGAAATGAAAAATAGGAGAGAATCTCTTGCTGAGCCTGTTATTGATCAGGTTAGATGGATAAAAAGTGAAGATTTTGATAATAATCTTGAAATATCTGTTTGTGATATCTCTGCTAATTCATCTCCTCCACCGAAACTAGCAAGAGCACATTGTACCAAAGATAGAAGTAGTGACAGTAACGAAACAAGTTTAGTTTTAACAAATGGTGATGATATTGATGATAATATTGATCCACCGAAACTACATCGTGTTGTATCAATATCTGATTCTTTTTCTAATGCAAATCCACTTATTGATCCAGGTGACTCAAACTCATCGAAGTTTGATAATAATCACCATACAACAGATGTTCTTGACGAACCTCCTACTGCTAGTCCTGCATATTCTGATATCTCTGATGACGGTACTGTATCATCTACAACTAATAATTTCCCAGTTTTAAACTTGGGAATGGCAGCAATTGATGTTCAGAATTCCAGAGAAGGAATATTGAATTCTTCATCAATTTTATCAAATCTTTCTAATCAACCACCCTTACCTCAAGGATACATTGATGTTTCCAGACGCTTAAATCTATCTCCACTTATATTGTCTTCATGTTCTACCGTTACTGGATCTAGTGAACCGACTAAATTATATTTTCCTGCTAATTTGTTTTCTCCAACTCTAAAAGGTGTAAGCAATATCTTCTATCAAACTGCATCTCCAACTATTAAATCCATGGACAAACAGAGTGCAGAAAGTGGATTAAAACCGATTAGAAATAATAATTCCCCTACAACTTATCCTTTTCAGAAAGAATCGCCTCCCAGATCCCTGATAACCAACAATAACAATCATAATACTAGTTGTAGCAGTAATCCATCAGTATTACATGATTTATCAAGTTCTCAGTCGTCCCCTTCTAATAGTGCTCCGCTAATTCCACCATCAAATCATGATAATTCCCGACAGCTGACTTTTCTCTCCGTTTCTCCCGGATTAGTTATGACTGAGCAAAATTCACGACCATCGTCCACAGGATCATTTGTATCAAATCCTCTTACTTTTTGTGTTTCACGAAATTCTCCAGTTCCACCACGACCCGGTAAGTTAAACTCATTTGGTCAGGTTACTCATTTTAATTAATTTAAACATTGTAGGACTACAATTTCAACTGACTAACTAATCAATCAAAAATGTTCAGTTATTTATGGGATTTATTCCTACTGGTTTTGCGATGTTGAAAGCTTTTATTTGGATGTAGTTGTTTGATCCTTAAACATACTTATTATCCGATCATAGGCAACATAGGGTCTGACATGAATGTAATCTGATCCAAACCAGGTCATCTCACAATAGCAAAGTGAGAAATAAACTCAAATATAAAAAGATAAGAGTAAAAACTGTAATTTCATTGGAGAGCTAAACATAAAAACATATAAAGGGCTCAAAATAACATCAAAATTCATGGTAAAATATATTGATACTAATTAGATTCATGTTACTTGATATGGAATCATCAATTGTAATTGTCGTATAAGAGACCAACCTACTCCTGTACTGGCACATATTGTTTATTAGAGTAGGCGTCGGTTGACTACTCCTAATTTGTGTCCTAATCATCTCGATCAATGAAAGTTTAAAGCTGTGTCAGTTTATTTACCACACAACACTATGCCCAACTCCATCAATACTCTTAATGGTTTGACAAAAAGTAGGGGATCATTCGTATGGTTGGTTTCACTAGTTGCCGACTTTCCAAGGACATGTTTCATAGCCATTAAGTAAGGTAGGATTGTTTACTATTTCTATGGAGAAAATGGTAATCCATGATAACTACATTTTGCCATCATAACTTGGTACAGCTGGTAATACTGCATCACCCTTCAACCTTTAATCTGATCGTTTTTGTTTTAGTTCTTTGTATCTAACCTGTTCGATGTGGTATCATAAGATCACTTGAAACAAGTATTCCCACCAATATTGCCCGATCACGTTGTCTTAATGAAAGGTCCAGTTCAACCATCCCATCAAAGGTACGGTTGGGAACATTGTTTATTTTTATCAGGCGAGGTGGTGTTTTAGTATCTGCATAAAAATGGGTTATAGGTTTTTGATTCGTATGAAGTGTTTTTCGGTTTGTTCACTTTCCCCCTTATGACCTGGTTGGTACGGCCGAGAGTGGGTAGAGTTCCATTCTTTCTCTCAAAGTGCTCTCATATGGCCACACCTATATAGCCACTGCCAGTGAATTCCTGCTCACTGCCTTCACGCGTTGGGGTATTGTTAAGAGGACGGGAAACAAATGTCTGGCATTTAATCCGGGTCGGAGTGTACTGAGGATCCACCTAGAGAAGTTGGAAAACCCTGATTCCAAACCAATGGTGCACATGGGCTCCATGATCCTAAGGGAATAAATGGCGTATGAAGCAGTCGTTGGTCACCGGCTACCATGGGACTGCATCTCCTGACGTTACTCCACTGCCTTGTGAATCAAACCTTAAGGTCAAAGGTTCGGGGAATGACCCCCCAAGAAAAAAATCTGCTTCGGTTTGGTCACTTGGACAGTATTCTAGCTCATATATAAATTAAATGATGAGTGTAGTGCATATATATTTTGGTGCCCTTTCGTACTAATGTTTATATGTTTCAATAAATAAATAACATTGTATCCATTTATGGTCATTATCATCAATCTGAATTTAATTCTATTCTTTTCACACAATATAGGTTTATCCGATCAAGGATTACTATCATCGCATAATAATCACCATTCATTTTATCAGCATCATCAGCCTTCTGCACTGTCTAAATCTTATGAATAAACAATTAGACACATGTATATGTCTATTATTCAATACATAAATGTATATTTCAACATTGTACAAATGAATGAGCCATATACACAACTTACTACTGGCGTTTACAGTACTTGTGTACGAGGCGATAGCTTGATCTTATCCGATGGAGAATCATTAGAGTTGTTATTTCTCTATGTGTATCTAATTTCTATTTTATTATTCACCCTATTTCTCATCACATATTTTTTACTATCCTGACAAGAAACAACCAAATCCCATCATTAATCAATTGATGATAGCAATATTCTCGTTCTTCCATTGTCCATCTTTCTCTTTAATCTTCATCCGTACTTTGTTTTTCTCTGTCTCTCTATGCATTGAGAAGAAAGAATGATATCCAATCTCAAGAAATCATGTGGTTGTTATTGTTATCATCTCATTGTCATGTTCCTTCTCTTTGTTCTTTCTTTTCTTGGATCTTTGTTTTTCCATTGTAATTTTGTTCTGTTTCTCTTCTCTGTATTCCTGTTCCAATTGACTACTACTTATCAATGCTCGCTCACCAAGGGTCTTTCACACAAAATCCAAATTACCATTATCCTTATTTGCTACTATTTAGTCAATTTTGAAATTTCTCCTTACATATATACAAGATAAAAAACTATGCATTATTATTACTATTACTATTACTATTATTATGATTATGATATTTGACCTCTGCCTTGCTGACAATATATCTCCAGTTGAATAACTGTGAAACGCAAGAATAAATGGATACTATCTTATGTTTTTGTTGTCTTCATCAAAAGTCAAACAACACTCTTAATAGTAACACTCCTTAAAGTTTCCAGTTTAGGATATGGTTTATATGATTATTCATTGTAGAAGTACCTTGTTATTTTTAGTATTGTTGTAAAAGTGCTTTCTCGTTTTTATGGATGAATGAATGACTTTTTAAAAAAAAATTGTATTCCAATCTTATCTTTCCCCTTTGTCCAGGGTTATTTGGATACTGAAACAATATTGAATCCCGAAGTGATGGTCACTGTGTTCTCATTTTTTGTACTATGTTCCATTTTTTCTTTCGCTTAATTTTCTCATATTATACCGCAAGAATCATTCAACAACAATCTTCTTTTACATGGCTCCGAGTTTTCTTTTATTTAACGTTTTCTTATTGACACCACCATCCTGTGTGCACCCATGTTTGTATGTGGGAAGGAAAAGAGAGAGTTTCACTTAAACCACATACACGGTACA